GCGCTTTTCAATGTGCGAGGAAAAAAAATCCAGCTATTTCCCCAGGTGCCTATTGCTGTTCCATCACGGGGCAGGTGGCTGCACTCATACCCACAATGCAATTTAGGAGGTCAGGCGGCTCAGTGACCGATTCACTGGAGCTGCATGTTTTTCTAATTTTGGAGTAAACCACTGAGAATGTGTACCCTGCACTGAGGGGGCAGAAATCGAACCCAGGACCATGGAGGGACAAGAGTGCCACGTTACCCACCGAGGCAATGTGCGTGGTGGTGGGGGAGCAAGCTAATTAAAGCAATCAAGGCTGCCTGTGACTCGATCATGACGTGAGTCATAACTGTATATTACACAACAGTCCACTGCACTGCCAACTCGTAAAGATCACTGCTCTGCCAGGCTGGCATACAGCAGGCGTGCCTTTTAGCGCTTCTGGAGCAGTGAAAGAACCGGTTCCGTGTCAGCCAGGTGGAACGCAAAAAGAAACCTGCGAACCATACGCGGGAGAGGGAGTACGCTCCAGAACCTTCACCGCGATTGGACCTCCGGCAGGCCGCCGTTCCACGTAGACGCCAGGGACACACGGCTCAAGCCCACCGCACGCCGAAGACGTCTCGGTGAACGACAGGGCCCACAAAGATACAAAGACACAGAGGGAGGGAGCGAGTGGGAGGGGGGAAAGAAACATGTTGAGAAAACCCAGGAGGGGTTCATTGGGCCAGTGTTACATAAGGTCTCCCGCAAAGTGAGATACGCAAACTGAGACCAGGGAGCGGAGCGGCACCTCCCTCCCTCCCCCTGCCAGGATTTCAGGATTCTGTTTCTGATTCTGTCTATGTGTACCGTCTTTGAACCTTGTCCGTTTGTGCAATATGTATGTTCGTCTGTGCTCCACATGCCTTGCTGCTGCATGCATAAGAATTTCACCAGGGATTAATGAAGTTCATTTAATCTAAAAGATAAATTGTTGACAGTTTCAGGGGTTTCACCGCGAGTCTAAAACGACGCTCTGCAGCAAAAGGCGAGACTCTCGAGGTGTCGGGGACTGATGTCACGTGACGGAAGCTCCCCGCTTCACTTGTGAACTTTTACCCTTTGGACTTTTAATTGGCCTCGTCGATACCGTCATGTGACCAACCTGAAACTGATGTCAACAGCGGAACGTGAACATTATTATTATAAAAAAACTAACCTGCCAACTGCTGTGTGCTTTTCAAATGGCTGCTCAAATGGCTGCTAATTGTGTGGTAACTCATGTGTTTCAAGGATAAGAACTAAATTAACACAGTTATTGCCACTTTTAAGAGAACTGCCTGAAATTCTAACTTCAAAGCAGATTTTAGGGATCACAGTTCTTATGGGGGGGGGCAATGCAGAGACATTTAGGCCCGAGCTCTAGCTGGGGAGTTGGGGCCCAGAGTGTTTATACAGTGCCCCAGTAACACTTACTATCAGTGCACTGTACTCCTTCAGGGTGACCTACCTGCACCAAGAACCGGCCAGAACCCAGCCAACTGGGTCAACCCTGGCCTGGCCTGGAGATGCACCATGGGATTCCAGCTGGCAGAAAGGAGGTCTAGAGGAGTCAGAGGAGGTTTCTCTCACACCCACCCAGCGCTCTCCCTAACCCCACTTCCGGGTGCCTCCTCGAGAAGAAAACAAAAAAGCTAAGTCATTTCTGCTTCCTTCATCTCATTGGTTTATGGTCCAGAAGTAACCTCCAGAGCTGGAGGCCAACACGTGACTGAAGTTTGGCAAGGATGCCGTCCAACCCGCTTCCTTCACATTCCCGGCCTATTTTTAGGCATCTTATTTTAACTGGGCTGCTCGTGGCTCTGCGACCTGCCCCCCACCCCTGCTCCATTATCCCTTATCCTGTCAATACTTCGGGTCGTGCGAAACTCTGTCGCGTCATGTGCGACACAAGGGAGGGTCGTCCTCTTTGTCCGCCGTCTTAGGTCATCCAAACACTCTTAACTTGGTCTTGGCAATTAAAAATAAACAAGAAATATCATTTGTTAAAAGAATGTTTAAGGTACTAATGTTAAAAGAATACTACCACACCCCCCAAGTACTGACGCCGCTCGAAGCTGGCGAATGGAACTCTGGATGGATGAGATGGAGCTGGAAGAGAATGCAGGAGCTGGAGGAGGAAGAGCAGAACAGGCGGAAAGAGCAAAGAAGTTTAATTTCCAACAATAGTAACTTGTACATCAGTCATTTTTAGCCAATGTGCCACGATGCAGGGGGGGGGGGGCGTCTCTACCACACGTGGATTTCTATCCCACACCATCAGTTGAGTTGCAACCTCTATCAACTTATTAATTCATCCGCTGCTGTAATTCAATGCAACTTAGAGTCACTCTGGCAAAAGACGACAGAAAAACAACAGTGCGGAACACGCAGTGCGTTACGCAGTGGGAGGGTACGCAGTGCGTTACGCAGTGGGAGGGGCTGCCATGGAGACGCGGAGACAGGTCTCAGTGGAGGCCGGCATCCCTGTCTGCCGACGTTAAAGCGCAGCTGCTCCGTGCCCCGCAGGCGGCGCGCCGAGCCCATATACCCTCCCACACACTGCGCTTGTGGCCTCAGAAGCACAACCGCCCACCTGCAAAACCGGTGACGACGGGCCCCGACTGCCCGGAAAGAGGGCACGGACTGGCATCAGGAATGGCCCCTGACACTGCCGATTCCAGAGTGGGCATGGAGGCCATGCCAATGTTTTGGGCTTTGTTAGAGGAGACGATGAAAAGGAATAATAAGAGCTATGGCGGTGGGACAGAAGCAGGCCGCAGCATTGTTAACCATGACCCTTGACCTTCTTTGTTACAGCAACAGAGCAAAGGTCAGTGAAGCATATGTCCACTAGCGAATAGAGGGGCAAGAAAAAATAACACTCAATTCACACAAAAAGGGAATCACGATTCCTAAACAAGCTGGTTCTATAAAATACTGAATCTGGCCTCCGCCCAGCGTACTTGTTTGGTGTTACTAAAAACACTGTAAATTTATTAAATGTGTTTATGCGAGCACAGCTCCTGAGAGTCAAGATTCAACGCAGCAAGAATTCGTAGCTCATCTTTGCCTAAATATTCCGACTGGTTTCCATCCTAATCCAAACTAGAAGTCCTAATATCAACCCCTAAGACCTCCTGAGCCTAGTCAACACTCCTTCAGCATTAATGTAGGTTTTTAGCAAACCGTCCTCACGCACGTGTGTGGCGGAAGCGTACAGACTGATTCTCATGCCAATAGCAGTCGTCCAGCCCACACGCAGCAAACCCGACAGCGGGGACAGTCACACACAAACCAGGCCCCCGGAATGAGAATACAGAAAACAAGCTTTTCACTCTGCTCAGATGAGGATTCAGCCGGATGGTCTCTTCCTCCTCCAGCAGAGACGTGGGAGTACATTTCCTGAGGGGGGGGGGCTGCAGTTCCAGATCTGCTCCCTTTCATTAAGCTTAATCAGAAGCCATATTAGACGACAGCGAGCATTGCTGCCGGCGGAGTGCGACCAGCGCCAGGCGCCGCCGAGTAATTACAGCTTCGTAAACAGGAAGGACGACGTTCCAGCGTGTCCGACCGGGGAGTCGCGAGGATGTGATTCTGTAAATGCTTACAGTGATGTGGCCTCAGGAAGCTGGGCGCCAATGCTGGGGATGGAGATCGATAAACATCTCTATGCCTGAAGGCCAATAATACAGCACACAAAGGATGCAGATTAACACACAAACCCTCAGTGGCTGGGCTGCAGTGACAAATGACCTGATAAGACAGACACAAACAGTCACACACACACAAAGCTAACACCAGCCACAGACTGAGCCCACTGCCCCATCACTCATAAGCTATACAGGATATTAATGAAAAACCCAGTAGGTACCATCAAGCCATTACTGGGTGTCACATATGGATCAATAGATACCAGAAGCTTGGGGAAGAAGGCATCCTTGCTCAAAACCTAGCGCCACTTCCCCCAAGCACAGTCCATAACACACACCTGACACACCGTAGCACTGGATCCACCACCCAGCCGGTGCCTGGGATCCAATCGAATGGCAGGAGCGCACATGCCCCGGCCAATCCTATGCCTCTCACGTGTCACGATCAGACTCAGACTTTCCGCGAACTTGTTCAGCTATATGCACACACGCACATATACACGCTTCTGAGAGAAGCAGCGTAAAGTGGAGGCTTTCCCTTGATGTCCGCAGTGACACAGGATTGGAACATTCCAGCACGCAGACGGGGATTTGCTCCCAGCCTTGGGCAACATCCCCGACAGACGCAGACGGCTCACTGATTACTGGCCAGGTGGCAGGGCGAGTTTCTGCAGGGGAGATGAAACTCATCCGATCTCCGCACATAACACAGCACCCATCGCACCCCCCCCCATCAGTAATGGACTATCCTTACAGACAGGGTCCCCGCGGGGGCCACTCTCCTTTTGTGTGGGGTGTGCGCACACAGCACGGCTCGGATTAGCATGCCGTTCACCCTCTGCTTTGCTCCCCCCCCCATTCCACAGGCCTCCCTACACCAGCTGCTCCCCCCCCCCCCCCCCGAGGCTGGTCCGAAGTTGCTGGGATTTCAGCCTTGAGATTGATTCAGCCTCCACTTCCTGCCTGATCTGCAGCAGGGGACCATCAGGGGGTGGGAAAGCAGAGCTCTGTCTGAGCTCACCATGCACCTACATCCCCACACCCAAGCGGAGCCCTCCGGCGACCCGTGCAGACCCAGCGGGCGATAAAGGCACGCTGACCATGCCACGGATCCCTGAAGCGGCGAACACTCCGCTCATTCATCTGCCGCTAAATCAGCTTCGGCCGAAGCAACCAGCGTCGCACTCCGTCGCCTAGAAACCCTCCTTTTCTTCCCTGGTGTACGCCAACGCTACTCAGACCCACAACGCCCGTAGGCTCTGTGAGATGCTTTAAAAAATTAGTTTATAAAGAAAGAGAAATGAGAATGAAAAAACCCACCAATAAAGACCTCAAACTCACCAACGCAGAACGTGCGACGCTTACCTCGCGCCTTGCAAATGTAAGCTCTGTTTTTTTGTCTTTTTCTTTTTATTTTCAGCAGCCCATAACCCGGCGTCTCCCCGGTGGATCACGGCGGCAGCGGCGCGGGAGAGAGGAGGCAGCAGCTGCGAGCAAGAACTACAAACTCCACGAGATTTCTCAGAAGGCTCCGGCAGCCCCAGCACCAAACTCTGCCTCGCTGCCTGACGTCAAAGCTCCCCCCCCCCGCCTCCCTCGCCCATGGTCACATGGTCAGATGAAAAGCAAAAGCGAGCCCACGTTGCCGCGGCAACAGGAGCACTGCACTGAAATGATTTCAATAGGTCATCTGTCACACTTCTGCACAGATAAAAAGTCCCAGACTTTTATAAACCAAATATATACGGCACGGCTCTTAGAAGCAGCGGCCCCCACCTCGCACCTGCAATTAAATCGGGCTGACGAATAGGTCAGCGGCAGCTGTACAGAGTGAAGAATTCCAAACAGAAGCTGGCGGAAGAAAAAGTCTGAATTCTGAAAAGACGAGGAGCTTTGCAGAGTGTGAGGCTGAACGAGGGGCCAGAAGCCTTTCGGGGGGGGGGGGGGGGGGGGGGGGGGAGAAATAAAGAAAGAAATGTAAATAGAACTAAAAAACTACAGGGAATGAGCTCCATCCAGGAATGTCTGCCACCTTGCCCACCCGCTACGGCATTCCACATAACCCCAAAGCCAAAATTAGTAACGCAAGGACATAAAACAATATGGATGGACTGATTGGGGGGGGGGGGTCCCTCTCATAATCCCTGCTTGATCTGCACCTGTCATTAAGTAAACGGGGAAGAGCGTTACTCCTCCCTGGACTTGTGAAAGTACAGCCGTCCCAAGGAGAAACATCACAAAAATGCAGCTGTTTATTACTTCGGGGACGTGACGCAAACTAGACATCCCAAAACAATAAAGTCACTGTGTGTCTATCCCCGGATGCGTGACGGAGCGTGATGAGCGGCACCTTGGAAGCTCTCGTAACAGCAGGAGAAACGTAGCTCAGAGGTGCGCCTGTCGGGGAGGGCAGTCAACCATCAAGACCGGATTCCTCTAGAACGCTTGGAGTTTTAAACAGATGCGGCCATATCGAAAGACGCTGGATACGGGATTTTCTTACCAGCCAACAGCAACAGGATGCGCATCAAAAGCCCTTAAACGTTCATTCAGCTCCACAAACTGGAGCCCCCCACCCCCCCAGAGTCCCGCCCCACAGCATTCCGATACCGGACTGAAAAGCTGGGGGGGTTAGGGTGGGCCAGAGCTTAAGGACTATTGTCATGCCTCATTTGAATAGCATCTGGTGTCCCGGGCAAACTGGGATTTGTGGGCCCTAGGCATCACGCGCGACCTGCGGGGGCAGGATGAACGCCGGCCTAGCTAGCATGCAGTCCTGGGGGAGGGGGGGAGCAGGGACATCGATGTTTGTTCAAGGCCCTTAATAGGATAAACAGGAGACTGCAGCCCCTGTTGTGTGATGAATGAATTGCAGTGAGATCACTTATGAGCTTAAAAAAGTAAACAAGAGCTGATAGATGCAGCTCAGGTGGGAGGGGACATTTAAGATGAAGAGGGAGCTTGGAGATACGTTTCTGCCCTGGGAGGCGCTGCTCCTCCGGAGGCACTTAAAGAGACCGATCTCAAAAGCATATCCCAGTAATCAGCCATTTTAAATGACAAATGCAGACCCCCACTCAAGTTCAAGAGTTCTGCCTCACAGTTGTAAGGAGGTGAGGAGTACAGATGAGAGGGCAAGTGAGGCTTGTTTAAATAACCGAACTCTGTGCTAAACATTCAAGGGGGGGGGGGGCTTGGACTGTGCTGCTCCTGGAACCCACACCAACTGTGGCCATTCAGTAACAAAGACTGCCCTGGGTGACTAACAGCCGAGAGAGCTATAAAACGCAGCAAGCCCCCCCAGCCCCCAATTATGGGCTGCCCAACGGCTGTCTGTCGCAGGTTGCCAGGGTGATTTCAGCCAGAGCCTGCAGATGCCTTGACTCCTGCTTCTCTGACACCCCCCCCCCCCCCGTCCCCATAACACTGATTAGCTAAATCCAGAAGATACTGGGCCAGAGGTTCATGTCGTCCTACATATCAACAAACCACAAGCGCGCTAAATCAATCCGGCCATGTTTCCAGGACCGGCTAACCTCCATCCACCTGAGAAACCAGCCTGTTCTCGCCCTCCTCCCATCCCTCCAGACAAAAGCGGCACCCAGACCAGACACTTAACGTAAGTATGTAAAATGGCTAATGATTTGGGGGGGGGGGGGCTGATTGCACACAGCCTCTCAAAGTAAACAGTTCAAATCCTTCAGCAAACCAGCCAGCTGAAAGCAGCCAGTCCAAGGCTAGATTTAATACCAGCTAATTGGCCATCAGCAGTTCCAATGGCAAATGGAAGATCTCCACTTTTCCCACCGCAGTGGAAACTGACAGAAATAATGACCCGACTCCCCCCCCCCTATGATTCTGTGTCCTTATCAAATAATTGTCACCCACAGAAACTCCACAATAACTCCGCAGCTGTCTGCAAATTTGGGACAGATTGTTCCTATATTGCCATTACTGCTTTTTGGGATGGCCGTCCCATACGCACCACACACCCCGAGACACACTTTTGGACGGCCAGAGCTACATTTTATGGACTCAAAGCATTTCAGGCATTTCAGAAGTATTTTTTATTTATTTACATTTCATTTAGCAGCCATTTTTATCCAAAGCAGCCCCACATATTTTTGATCCAGCTGGGTCAGCTAGTTCCTAAAGCAACTGGGCTTCAGGGCCTTTGCTCGAGAGCCCAGGGGTGACATCACCGTATCAGCCGTGGGATTTGAAATGGCGAACTTGCAATCAGGCACAGGACCCTAACCCACTAAGCCACACGCAGGCCCAGAATCTCGCCATTCAGCTGCTCGAGTGATTAAATTTACCCGTTGCCTTTCACTTAAACATAGTTTCCCAAGTCCCTCAACGGCAGTTATGACTGAAACCTGCCGGGATGTGAGCGAGTGCTGGTCACCCCGTGTCCTTAACTCCCACTCTGCTGTGGGCACCCCTACATGCCCACACTGCTGGTGGTGACTCTTAGACCATCGCTGCCTCTCCTCGTCCGGAGAGGTAACCGCTGTGCCAGACGGGGGGGCTCTCGCTTTGATGTGTTCGTGATGTGATGTGACAGCGTGCTGCTGCCACCACATCGCCGGGGGATCAAAGGGGCCACGCCGGCATGGGGTCTCCTCGCAGGGGTCTGCAGGACAACCTTCCCGCGGACCAACCACGGCAGTGAAACTAAACCCCAGTGTGGCACCAAGCATAAATACAGATGTCACTCGTGCAGTAATTCCCTAGACACGTGTTTTCACTCACTGCCCATTTTATTAGTTACACAACGATAGTTCCCAGTTCAACTCCCTTTTGCCGTCAGAAGAGAGTTAATTCTTCGTGGCATGGATTCAACAAGGTGCTTGAAATTTTCCTCAGAGACTTCGGTCCATGTAGATATAGTAGCAGCATGCAGTCGCTACACATTTGTAGGCTGTACCTTCATGACGTCAATCTCCCGCTCCACCACATCTCCTAGGTGCTCTATTGGATCGAGATCTAGTCTGAGATAACGGGAGCTTTGTGGTGTGTCATCCTGCTGGACGTAGCCATTAGAAGCTGGGCACACTCTTCTCATGAAGGACAACATTCAGGTAGGCTGTGGCATTTGATCGACGCCCCAAAGCGTGCCAAGAAAATATCCCCCATACCACCAGAACCCTGGATTTATGTTTACAGCATAGAGTGCATAGGCAAAGATTGTTAGTGGATTATTTTTTTGATTTAATGCTTCCATATTGGATTTGTACATTTGTACACACACACACAATCACGTACACCTGTGTCTTGTGACCCCACACAAGGATTCCTATACTGGTACAAATGGTTAACTATCCAACTGCCCTCACCCCAATCTTACATTTAATAATCTTTTATGTTAATAGATGACAGAATTAACCAAGTATCACACTTGGGTGTATCATTACAGCATGGGGACAGTAATGCATTAAAATCAATGACAGATTGTTCCACACAATTCAGTCTGAACATGTGACCACAGCTGAGAACCTCCAGCTTTACAGCAGTGTTCGGGAGCTCCACATTCACACACTGAAACCAACTGTAAAAGGGCGTCTCACAGGCGCTGGACACAAAGTACACGCCCCCTTGAGGTGTGGAGGTCATATGGCAGTCTGTCTGTGCATGACAAGGACAAAAGGCAGCTTGTGTTTGTCGAAGTCTCAGGGGCTGCGAACCCTGGGAAAATACTGCAAGCCTCTGATTATGAACCTAAGCCCTCCCCCCTCCCTCAGAGTCATGGGAACGAGGGGGCAGCAGCCGGCGTGGAGGGTTATCCAGTGTAAGACCACACAAACAGAGCTGAGGTCAGTGACACCACGAGTGAGCTAGGTGCCTTATAAAGGGGCAGACAGAACACAATGCATGGTGTGTATGAGGGGGGGGAGGCTTCTCCAGAGGAATGCCATGAAAATAGTCAGTGCGGGTCACGCGATTTCCCATCACCCAAGGTCACACTCTTGCGACTCGCCATTACAAATTACAAACAAGCAAAGGAATAACCACCCCACCAATGAAAAACATTAATCTAGATGCTTAAGAACTGGCTGGGGTTGATGAACCCATGCATTACACCAGATGGATGGTCTCATGGGAGCAGCCATGGTCTGGCCTACAGGGGGGGCTCGTGAGATCCACTTCTGGGTGCTGGTTTGGGGGGGGGCAGGTTCTGTTTAGAATCTTTTCACACCAACCAAGCCAACATAGCCACCATATTGAGTAACCCCTCCACACAGTGCTGTGACCAGCAAACCTCTTTTTTTTTTTTTAAACACACGCCCTCGTGTGGAAATCCCCTGGAATGGGGAACCACTGGCCTACAGCTTAACCCGATGACCAGAATGGCTGCGAAATTACATCACGGGGTAGAGCTCACTCACGGCACTGCGCCCAGACGACCATGTCAGCCGCTAACTGGACACAGAGGTGTATGAAAGAGGGGTGGGTTCAAATACACAGGTGTCAAAAACCCACACCTTCAGCCCACAGTAATCACACACTGTCACAATCGTCGGATGCAAGCGGGGTGACACATTAGCACATGCGTCACTAAACTGGACGTCCA